CAAGATGGCTGCGGCAGGCTTCCCGGCCCACCAAGCGAGGCGGCTACAGTGGGCATGTAGATGCATGGAGCAAGAGAGCTGAGCACCTTCAGGCAGAAGGCTTGCTGGTGGAGTGGGGTGCCTCTAGGCCCTTGTTGGTGGAGCTGAAAGAGCTTTGTAACACTTGCCTGAACAAGACAAGGTCAGGCCAAGGGTCGAGGCCAGTCCTGAGGGGTCTGAGAGGAGCTTGTCCTCAAGGGGCCAAGAGGAGCCCTGCACGGCAGAGAGGAGTTGAGACAGCTGTCCTGCACTGAAGAAGGGAGATTTTGCCTATATGCTTCCTGATCCTGATCCTGAATTGTAATCTGTTACTTCCCAAATAAACCCCGTAACTGTGAGTATGGTCTGAGTCCTGTGTGGCTGTTACAGTGAATTATGTAACCCAGCAGAGAAACAGAGTGTGCCTTGGGAGGGATAGCTGGTGTCAGAATTGGTTAAAAGGTTGGAGGATGGAGGTATGTTTGACCTCCACCTTATAGGAATCAGCCTTGGGCTGATGTTGATGGTGATTCTCTGACTGGTGAAGTAAGATGAGGTCAGATGTCCCCACACCATTTTTGCATCCGTGCCCCCTAAGAAATGACTCCTCCTTCTCCCTTCCTCTCCACCCGATAAGCACTAATAATCTTTGGTCTTTATACATTTGCCTATTTCATACAAGTGGGATGATACAGTATTTGTCTTTTTGCAACTGCTGTATTTCATTCAGCATAATGTTTTCAAGGTTCGTCCATGTTGTAGCATGTACCAGGACTTCATTTATCTTTATGGTTGAGTAGCTCACTGTTGCCAAACTTCTGCCTATTCCTAGCATGTTATTACTGGGTCAGCCTCTGCCCAAACTGCCTAGGACAGAGTTGACACATAAAGGGATTCAGTAAATGTTTGATGAAAATGACCGAAGCTTCAGTGTGTAGCACCCACCCATTCTCAAGTTGATCTCCCTACTACCAGTCTCCTTCCCTCCCAAGCCCACCCCTCAAAGGACACTTGTGGGCAGAAGAGGTCCCCAAGGTCGGAAACTCCATCAACCCATGGGGTGGGAAACTCTTTGGGTCAAGAGACTGTTTTGTGACCTTTGTCAGAAGACCCTGTGCCCGTTTTCCACTTGCAAATGGAGAAAATATTTTCCTCCCCCTAACCCTCAGAGCTGCCTTGAGCATTGAGCAGTATAAAGTACATAATACCAAGATGGCAAGTGTATCAGAGGCTCTTAAGCTTGGGCTTGCAACAACATCACCCAGAAGGCTTGCTAAAGCACAGATGGCTGGGCCCACTCCTAGAGTTTCTGATTCAGCAAGTCTAGAAATGGCACCTGCGAATTTGCATTTATAACAAGTTCCCAGACGATGCTGATGCTGCTGGTCCATGGACCACACTTTGAGAATCACTGGACTCGGTTATCCTAAGAGCACTGCTCTTTCCACGCCAACCCTGTTTTCCTCCATGAAGTGTGCTAGTTCAACACTCATCTTGTTTATGTTTTACCCTTTTAGATGTTTGGTTGGAAATTTAACCAAGACTATAAATTCCTCTGGGTAGAAATTATACCTTCCACACTCCATACTCTCTCATTTTCTGTTTTGTAAAATAATGAGTGCATTTTCACTGTGATTAATAATAGAATAGGGAAAGGGAAGAAAACTCAAGACTACCAAACCCAATAAACAACATCCACAAATGGATACTAGCTCTGGAATTTTCCTAAAAATTAATTGTGAAGCAAAGAACATTCTACCACCAGCAGCAATGCGGGAAAGACTATCTTCTTAATGACATATTTTGTAAAATGTGGGTTATTCAAGATTTTAGCCGTAATTTACTTAAACACCAACATTTTTTGAAATATAAAACCACAAACTGCATTTCAGCTCATAATTTTTATAATGATAGGCAGACAATTGTGTTTTCAACATGTAAAATCCATTACACAGTCATGGCAACAATTTGCAATAGATTGTAAATTTTTATTGAGATGATCTTCTTGCGATTGAATTTCAAAATGTATTACATGATCATCAGCGAATAAGTCCATGGAGAATGCTAAAGTACTTTGAATATCATTTATAAAGATCAAAAACCCTGGAAATCCTTACATTTAACCCTCGGAAAGAAAGAAGTCTCATCGGCAGGATCAAATCAATTATTTTTATGGATGAATATTGCACTGCAAAGCTGAGATAAGGTATTACCCAGTTTAATAACATACCCTTATGTCCATTTAAAGTTGTAAGCTTCATAATCAGGTTTCAATGAGAAATTTTACCAGAGGCCCATTTTTTTAAATAATGAAGAAAACAGCATCTCCATTCATCACAGTGGTTCAATAACCTTCAAAGGAATATTCCCAAGTAACAGGAATATTCACTGTCCTTCGGTTACTTGGGGCCCTGGTGGTGCAGTAGTTAACAGCTACAGCATGCTATGGCTGTTAACGAAAAGGTCAGCAGTTCAAATCCATCAGTCCCTCCTTGAAAACCCTATGGGGCACTTCTACTCCATCCTATAGGGTCGCTATGAGTCAGAATCGAGTCGACGGCAACGGGTTTGGTTTTGGTTTCAGTTACTTACTACAGAGACACACTATTGAGATATTTAAGAACCTTACTGTCAATTTTGTTGCAACACTTGTTTTGAAAACACAAATTTGTTCCAACACAATTGATACATTAGGGAGGAATTTTAACACAATTCAAATTTTGTGTTTGGTTATGTGTGATTTAGTAAGAAACACTTGGTGAAGCAGAAAACTGCACCCATGTGGGAATAACAAAATACACCTCAAATATCTACTTGCTCCTTCAGTTCACTTTGTCTGTTTTCAGCCATACCCATCCACATCTGGTGGTTCAACTTTACACCACCAATTTCAGACAACCTTCCTTCCACCACTTCACAATAACTCATAGGCTGCAACCCTTCTGATCCACACCTCCGCAAACAAACTTCAGGTCTTCTTCAAGGCACAGCACCACAGTTATTGTAGTATTTATACATTTCTTAACCATGTAACTTGTGTAAAAACTATGGTATTGTTTTATTAGGTTCCTATCTTTATTTACCACCACCTGTCTGTCAGTTTGTCATACTACAGTGGCTTACATGCTGCTATGATGCTGGAAGCTATGCCACCCGTATTTCAAATAACAGCTGGATCACTGATGGTGGGCAGGTTTCAGCAGTTTCCAGACTAAGACAGCCTAGGAAGAAAGGCATGGCAATCTACTGCCAAAAATAAGTCAATGAAAACCATATGGATCACAATAGAATATTGCCCAATACAGTGCTGGAAGATGAGCTACCTAGGTTGGAAGGCACTCAAAATACATGGTAGGTGCCAACAATGGACTTGAGCATATCAATGACTGTGAAGATGGTGCAGGATGAGGCAACACTTCCTTCTGTTATACATAGGTCGCCATGAGTCAGAATCGACTAGACAGCAAATATCAAGAACTACAATATCTTCATGTGTCACTGACAAAGTTTTTGAGTCCTGTGCGCCTAACCTTATTTCCTCCCATGAGCCCTGTGGTTTTTATTGCATAACGTTGCATAGCATGGTGATTTTTAGGGATGCCTATGTCACATTGAACAGAACAGACTGTATTTTCCCTTGCTTATTGTTCCACGGTGGTGATGGATCCTTCTCCTCCCCACCCAGAAGCCATCAGTGACTCTTTTTCTCCAGAAGCTGACAGCCCATGCTACCCGCTTCCCTGAGCTCCCACTGCAGCACCCCCAGCTCTCTGTACCTCGCTGATGACATTGCGTCTCTTTTTACCTTTATTTACTATCATGGTGTGACCAAAAATCAAGGGCACTGGAATCAGACAACCTTAGAGCAAATCCTGCCTCTGTCCAGTTCTATGACCTTGCACAAAAAGTTTAAAAACATTGAGCTTCTATTCCTTCATGTACATATGAGATAAAAATCACTTATACCAATTGGCTATTTATAGGAGGAAAATGAGCTAATATAAATAATGTGATTTGCAAAAAAAAATAATCACCAAGTTCTTTTAGCTTCTTAAATTGCGTTCAGGCCAGGAACATCTCAGGAATACAGTTAGAAACACAATCCCAGCCAACAGCCCCTTATTAGAAACATAGTACAAGCCAGGAACCCTGAGGGATACGAATAACCCTCTGAGACACAGTCCCAGCCAGGAGACTTTTAGTATAATCCAGTAATCTCAGAGAAATAGTTGGAGCCAGATACCTTCAAGATACACTGAGCCAGGAGCCCTTAGGGGTACAGTAAAATACAAAGGACCCTCTGAGAAACAGCTCCAATCAGCAGACTCTTAGGTAGTAGCTAGGAGTCCTCAAGGAATACAAAGCCAGAAAGCTCTTAGGGAGAAAGGCAATTCCAAAACCCAGTTAGAGACTGTCTGAGCCAGGAGGCACTCAAAGCATAGTTGGCACCAGGAACCCCTCAGAGACAGAACGAGCACCAGGAACCCTTGAGAAAATTGCCAGAAGCAAGAGCTCATTAGGGTCGCAGGCCCAATCCAGGGTTCCTCACGGACATAGAAGGAATCAGAAATCCTCTGGAGACACAGCCAGAACCAGAAGTCCTCAGACATACAGTTCAAGCCAGGAGGCCTTCAGGGTACACAGTCAGAGCCAGGAACCCTCAGAGACATTGTCATCACTAGGATGCCTCAGACATAAAATGGTACCAGGAGCTCTCAGAGAGACAAAACCAGTGTCCCATGAGAACCACCATCAGAACCAGGAATCTTTCAATGACACAGAATCAGGAGGCTCTTAAAATCACAGTTGTAGCCAGGATGTCCTCTATGGCAAGACCAAAACCATGCATGTTTTTCTCAACAATAGGAAGCACACTCACACTGAAGAAGTTTACAGATGATTTGGTCATAGAAGGCCAGGAGGAAGAACACTCACAGCTCCTGCCAAGCCTCTCAAAGAGGAGTCTGGAAGGAAGCTCTTACCTGCACACTTGGTCCTGGTGGTGAGGGGAGGCCCTGGTGGTCCTGTGCCCCCCTCACCTGGGCGTGTGAGCAGTACGCGGATCTCGTACTCCACATCGGGGTCCAGATGCCACAGCTTATAGTTTGGGGAGTCGACAATGTGGGTCTCGGCCCAGGTGCCCGTGGTGGTGCGATACTCTACCTCCTTCAGGATGATGGGTCCGTCACCGATGATGGAGTTGGCATTTGGCTTGATCCACAGGTAGGTGGCTCCCACAGCCAGCAGCTCTGGGGGGGCGATGGGCGTGGGAGGCTCTGCAAGACAAGAAATCAGCAAGGACCATGAGAAACAAGTGGTTTATAGGACAGAATCCAAGCACATGAGGATAGGGAACAGAATTACATGTAAAATACATGAAATTATACACACAAACAGAGCCATGTAAAATAGCCCAAATCCTCTTTTTTAACCTTATTCCCGTCCAAAGTTAGCTTTTGCATTTTTGTATGTAAAGACCTGAGTCAGTATTTCTTCAATAACTCTATTCCGCACCCACCAGACTTCCTTCATTTAAAGAAAGGAAAGAAAGAGGCAGTTGTGAGGAATGATTTTTCCAGAGTCCTGCAAAGCTGCCTAGGTTAATACTTTGCTTTCTATCCTCAAATGAGAAGCTGCCTTTACTGAATTTGAGTTTGGTTTGAAACCCAGGCGAGTCTGAGATTTATAAACATTTCTTATATAGGAACACATAGACTGTTAGTGGGAGTTCTCCCATAAAGTGATATGAGCCTAAGTTGAGAAAGGATGATGGTACAGTTTCTTCCTCAACTCTAGAAGGTTCCATCCAGCAGGGAGGGTGTCATTGGCTACAGTGCACCCAGTGGGAATCAAGGGTCAAGGGAAAAGTAATGCAGAATTATCCTGGATCTGCTCTGTGTTGTCACCTCCCTTCCACTAAGTTCAATATCTTCAAATAAATAGACAAATTAAACTAGTAGTTACGGTGGCCTCTTCTGGCAATCCTTAGCCCACTGGCGAAGCTGCAGAAATTAACATTTATTTTGTACTTCTTATTTACCAAAGGAGCCCTGGTGGCACAGTGGTTAAGCGCCCACCTGCTAACCAAAAGGTCAGAGGTTCAAACCCATCAGCTGCTCTGCAGGAGAAAGATGTGGCTGTCTGCTTCCATAAAGATTACAGCTTTGGAAACCCTATGGGGTAGTTCTACTCTTTCCTATAGGGTCACTATGAGTCAAAACTGACTAGATGGCAACAGGTTTATTTACCAGGAAATCTCACATGCTTTATTTCATTTAATGCTTGGGACAATAGTATCTCCACTTTGATGGATTAAAAAAACAAGAACAAAAACAAAAAAACTGAGAACCTGAGTGGTCAGGTGACCTAAACGAAGATCACGGAGCAGGTAGGATGGGTTGAAACCCATGTCTGCATACCTTTCCAGGCCAGCTCTCCCCCTGGGAGCCTGTTTGCCTCCTGATACCTGTTTTCTTTAAATCAAACTGGATATGTTTATTATTTTTATTTATAGCAAAAATATCAGTGGAAAAGCAATAAGGAAATGTGAAGGAAGAGAAAATATGCCCCCTTTCCCAACACCTAATATAATAGTCATTTTTACTTCTCTATATTCTATTCCAGTTTTTATTCATAGAATTACACCTTCTTATGTAGTTACAATAACATATAGCCCCAATGTAGACTTGTTCTTTTATTTTTTCGTACTTATTACATCCTAAGAACTTTGTTCACATACTACATGGTCTTCACCATTTCTACGTTTAACAGCTAGAGAACAATGCATCAGATAATCACACTAATTATTCCCCAGTTGTTGGCAATGTAAGCTGTTCCAAGTTCCGCTGCTGGAAATAATGCTGCAATGAACATCTTTGTGCAAATGACTCAGTCCTTATTGTCTCATATTTTCTTAAGACCAATTGCCAGGGATGAAATGATCTGCCTAGGGGTATGAACATTTTAAAAACGACTCCTGGGGTAGAACCAATAAGTGTGTTGGGCAGGTAGGGCATTTGAGGGTGGAGTACCATGTGGATTTGTCTGACAAGGCATTATTTTTGGAGGGCCTCTGGGTTGTACAGGTATTAGTTTCAATTTAGAACTCAGGTGAGGGTTTCAGGATATATGTACAGGAGATCCATTCAGTGTTTTCCTCCTAATTATAACCTAGCAACAAAAGTTCTCTGGAAACAGAATAATTGCTATGAAATTGGAATGGACAATATTTTCTCTGTGTGACTCAAAGCAAATCTTATGGGACAACTTCAGATTGCCTCTGTTACAGCCTGCTATTTGGTCAGAGAAGGAAATTAAGGAGATTAGTCAAGCTAGATGCTTTTCTTTACAAAGCCATGGAGGTTATTACTCAAGACCTTGTTATCTCAAAGGTGTTTGCAAATTGATTTTTGGATAATTTGTTCCAGGTAGAGGAGTTAAGTTGGCAGGTAGGTAATTTCTGGGCTCATCCTCTGTGGATTTTAAATATATGGACCCTTTGATCGCCATTATCAACTCTCCAGAGTTCCCATCAATCTCCAGTGAGGCCCCAAGGGTGATATTTTGTAGCTCTGTGATGATTCTGCCCAATTCCTTAATACAATTATTCACAGACGAGCCCTGGACAGAATTAAGAGCAGAAGACTTTAATACTCGGGCCTCAGCAAGTGGCCACATTAAGCTCTCTCCACTGTATTTCCACCATGGCTTTTTGCTCTTCTATTTCAGGCATTGGAGACCTGGTGGCATAGTGGTTAAGAGCTCAGCTGCTAATCAAAAGGTCAGCAATTCAAATCTACCAACCGCTCCTTGGAAACCCTTCGGGGCAGTTCTACTCTATCCTTGGCAACCCTTCGGGGCAGTTCCACTCTATCCTATAGGGTCGCTATGAGTCGGAACTGACTCAAAGGCAATGCTTTTGTTTTTTTTGTTTTATTTCAGGAATTAGTAATTCTCAATTGCTGACTACCAGAAAGGAAATTAAGTTTTAGCCTTTCCAAATGTTTAGTCTCTTTTCACATCTATGTGCAAGTATAGTAACAAACATCCCCTTGAGTATACAAATGTCCCCATCTCAATTGACTTACAAATTCACATGTCCATGTTCAGAGTGGCCAATGCGGTTATCTCCCCCTCCCTCCTCTCAAGAATATATCTCGTAAGTACATCACAGTATTTTCCTGTATCTGGCACCAAGAAGCTATCAGATTACTGTTTTCTTTACTTTTCTACCTTTTTAATGATTCACTGACCTATAATTGGAATTCTTTGGAAGGCATGTATACATGTGATTTAAAGAGAGAATGAGGCAAAAAATATATATATATAAACACACACACACACAAATCTCTCCACATTTTTTAAAATGTGCAGATAAACCATGCTGATTTGTCTCAGTTCTCTTCTATATCTGAGATGAATTCACTCTTCAACGAGACAGTGCAAGAAATGCATGGGAAGGGTGGGGCCAAGACGGCAGAGTACTCAGACGCTTCCAGTGGACCCTCTTACAACAAAGACCAGAAAAAACAAGTGTATCGATTATATATGACAATCTAGCAGCCCTGAACACCAAAAGCAAAGTTGAGGAACTGGACTGAGTGGCAGGGGGAGCGAGAGATGGTTCAGAAACAGTGAGGAGTTCCAGACCTGACAGTGAGAGAGCCTGAGCCCTTCAGGCCGGATCAGCCCATTGCTGAGCAGTGAGGCAGGCAAGCAGCGGTGCTAGGGAGGTGTATTCTGCACCAGGAGAGATCAAGTGGCAGAGAGTCTACTCAGCCACCCAGAACCAGTGAGAAGCAGCCCTCAATCGACGAAACATAACTACTTCCATATGGCCTGCCGTGCGGATGAAAAACACCCCCGTTAGGGAAAACCTCTCTCCCATTTATTTCCCTGCTACCTGCTCTGCACTGGATCCCAGACCGGCTTCAGCAATTGCTGAGCCCCCTGGGCTGGAAGTAGGATCCGTCACATGCCCTGAGCCATTCTCCCGGCCTTGGAGAGTGAACAAATTAACAAACAGTGGAAAAATAAACTGCCAGCTCCCCAAAGCACAGCTCCTTTGCCTAGGCATAGGCATAAAGGATCCATGGACTCTGAGTGCCTTTCCCCCTACACAGACTTGTGTGAGCCAATTTCAATAGCATAGGCCCTCATTACCACAGTACAACAGGGTATATACCAGAACTCTAACTTGAACTGTTTCAGCTGTGAAGTGGTAGGTTTGTGACATTTGACACTACTCTGCCCATTAAGTAGGGTCTTCACCTATCCACATCAGGGGCCTGAGGACTGGTGGCTCCACCCATGCCACATAGCCACCTGCAATAGGGACCCAAGAATAAGAGGTGCCCCCCAGTCCTTACAGCCAACAGCATTGGGTGCTCACAGTCCAGCTGCAAAACCCACCCACCTACAGGCTCTAGGGAACAGGGACACACCTTCCTCCTGGACTCTCGGGGGTAGCCATCAGCCCCCTGCCTTTCTCAGACTGTGTCCCCCTGCTGTAGCCAGATGCGTCTGCACACACCAATCACCCATACTGGTCTAGGACTTTAGGTGAGAGCGTGCACCACACACTTGGTGGATATCTACCTGGGCACATGAGCTGAATCCATACAGGAGGAGTGGGCAGACTCCTGAGCTCACATACCAAATAACAGATCTAACCAGCCAGTAACAGGACATTAGAGCTTCAAAGGTGCCAATAATCAAACTAGCTCACAAGACCAGCCTATCTGGGCCTATCAAAACAAAGAAAGAAGCTAGGACACAGTAAGAAAACATAAAATAAATAAATATAATAACTTATTGAAGGCTCAGAGACAACAGTCAATATCATATCACATAAAGAGACAGTTAATGATGGCTTCAGCAAGCTCCCAAAATAAAAAATCTAGAAATTTTCCAGAGGAGGAGAATTTCTTGGAATTACTGGAGGTAGAATACAAAAGATTCACATACACAACTCTTCAAGATATTAGGAAGGAAATTAAACAAAATGCAGAACATGAAATAGAGGAAATTAACAAGATTAGAGAAGAGCATAATGACAAATTGAAGAGGCTGCAAGAATCCAGAGAGAGACAGCAATCAGAAATCCAGAAGATTAACAATAAAATGTCAGAATTAGACAACTTAACAAAAAGTCATAGGAGCAGAATTGCAGAAATGGACGTCAGAATTACTGAGATTGAAGAGAAAACACTTGACAACAACTATTTGATGAAAAATAAGATAAAAGGATTAAAAAAATGAAGAAACCCTAACAAAT